AACATGATTAACCGTCTGCTCATTCGACAACTTTTCGCATAAAAAAAAAAGTAACGCATCTGTATGTCCAGGGGTGTTAAGCAAATGTCCATGTAATATGTTAATAGTAAATGTTTTAATCTTATTCGAATTTTATGAACAAATATTGAGATGTTTTAGTAAAAATTCTGCTGTTGCACGAATGGGCAGGCGCGCCCAGGAGTACCACGGCCTCATTCAAGACAGCGGTATCCGTATTGGTTCGTAGGTTCCATTCCCACACGAGATAATTATTTGTGTGACATACAGATAACTTTTACGGGACTTTGTGTATGTCTACGTGAAATGTACGTACGTACGCATTTAAGGGGGCAAAGTTAAATAGAAAAGAAAAACAATTAAATTTATTGATTAAGTTAATGTTCTTATTTCTTCGATATTTCTTATATGCTGTATAAGAATGTATAAGTAATATTTGAACATTTCTAAATGTAACAGATCTAACGGGTTAAATTTAAACTCAAATCGCCGACCTTTTGATAATTGGTCTCGCGGCGAATTTTGCGATAAAATTTGTAAAATTAGTTTCGTTTAATAAATTCCAAATGTTCATTTGAATGTAAAAAGTAATTTGAGGTAAGTAACATTAAATAATTCTTTTTAAATAATTCTATTTAACGTTAAGCATATTTCATTTTGTTTAAAGTTTTACGGTCACAAGCTATACTATTCTTTAACCATGCGCGATCGTTGTGCCATGTCCAGCAAAGTCCTTACTAATATTATAAACGCGAAAGTTTGTATATATGAATGGATGTTTGTTACTCTTTCACGCAAATACTACCGAATGGATTTAAATGAAACTTAACAATAATATAGCTTACACATTAGAATAAGACATAAACTATAATTTATATACATATTTAATGTATATCTGTCTTTCTGGCTGAATGATACGCCTTCAGACAATTCTACGCAGACGTAGTCGCGGTCAGCAGCTAGTCTTAAATATTTTAAAACATGATTTAACAGCCTACCCATAAGATGATGAGCATTCATGTTAATACAAATAGCATTCTGATAACTTTCCTTCATCTCTTTTCTGTTCGTTTAGACAACATATATAATTCACTAGAATGTTAAATTTTCCTGAAATCAGTGCTTTTTAACTGAATCACCGTGAGTCAAATAAAGTTTCAAAATCAATACGACTTAAGGCGAATATACCCCAGAAAAGCTTAACTTTTACTAAGGATTCATATTCACTTAAGCTTTAATTACTACGATATTTTTTCAATAAAAGTCGTACACGATCTCTTAATTACGGGAAGAAGCCCCACCACCGTTAATTTTCGCACGCTTCCGCGACCCCGCCAGCGCTGGCCGCCTCAGCAGCCCCCTCCAGGTACGGCACGCTGAAACATTCAGCGCGCCTTCATAGTCGGCCCCTTTAAAAGCTGTGAAAGCCTGCTCTGCTGGTCGACGGCCCCGAAGCTCGAAAACAGCAGGCCTTACGCCAACTGCCGTATATCGTAACGGAGGGCTTAATGCGTTGTCGACCTTTTAGGGAGGAGTATGCTCTCTATCACACGACAAATATCCATGCGTGATTAAATCACTATCGTACTGAGAATCAGTGAATAATTATGTATTATAATAATTTATGTAATGCTTCCACTCGACATTACTGTTCGTGCCATCCATCCATCTTATGAAGTGTAGAAATTGTTGCGACTTGTGACAAGAGAGCTAGTTTAGGAATCCTCAACCGTGAAACTTGGTTAAGTGTAACTAATCATGGAGGAAATTTGGCAAGCTTTCTTGGCACCGTGCTTCGAGGATTAGGTTTATTAATTTTCGACCCAGTGACGTCAGATTTTCGTAGTAGCAGAACCTCTACATTGCCCGCAATCCATGTATTACATGCATATGTCATCGGCATTTAAATGCGTGCAGCAATTAATTCGGTTTCCAGAGTTTTTTACAGGAAAAATGGCACTTCATATAATTTATGTTCTTAAAGTCAAACCACCTGTTTAGGTTTCCGTACCCAAAAGTTAGAACGGGCCCCTTTTGCTAAGAGTCAGCTGTCTGTCTATCTGTCTGTCCGTCTGTCACCAAGTTGTATCTTATGAACCGTGATAGACAGTTGAAATTTTCACAGATGTTGTTGCCACTATAACAACAAATACTAAAAAACATTAAAAATCTTTAAATGGGGTTCCCATACAACAGATATAATTTTTATAGATAGGTACTTGGCCGGTTTTCTATCAAACGAACTCGCTGGATCTACAAACGTTCCCAAAAAGACCTTTCATTCGTAAATGTTGTCTCACGTTAAGATGTTTTACGGTTTTAGGGCCACGCAGCAGCCTCGGCTGTTGAACAAATGGGCAGGCCCGTCCGGGTAAGTACCACGACCTCACAGAAGACACAGTTAAGTGGAAGTATGACAAATACTTTCGCGTTTCGTCTGGTGAGTGAGGTAGCCGGAGCTCAATTTTCAAAAGGTTGTCAACGCATCTGTCCTCGGGTGTAGCAGATGTCCACGGGCGGCGGTATTCACTTACCATCAGGTGAACCGTCTGCTCGTTTGGCAACTTTTCAAATAAAAAAAATATATCAGTAGAAATAGAAGACGGTTTAGATATCAATTTGTCAGACACTAAAACTGAGATGAATAATTCACAATCAACAACTTCGACTAATCGCAATGTTCTGGCGAAGTTTGCGGTAGCGTTGACAATAATTAGCACAGCGAACTGCGTTAGAAGCGGTCTCTTGTCTACAGCCGAAGTTGGTAAGTTGACGGTTGTTTCGTGTCTCGACTTGGGGCGTTCGTAGTAACAGGTCGTTTAAGACGATGCTCCGAATTAGCCACGTAATAATGTAAACACCAATATTGTAAACACGAGAGTTTGTGTACAATTGTTCCCCCTTCCACCTCATCGTGGACGAAATCTTTGCTGAAAAATATATCGGCCACATGTCTATTTGCACTTCCCTGGAAGATTGTAGTAGATCGAGAGGATAATCTTTGCTGTGTGTATTCCAAACCTTTCAGGTAGGGTAGCCTGTATTAAAAGTATTTATTCTTCTATGTTTCTTCTGCAGGAAGTTAACCGTCTATTAGGACAGTAACCCGTTTGCATAGGCATCAACATCGCCAGGTGTCTAAAGACGCTTATCATAAAGTTTTCGCTGTTTTGACTTATAATTTATTTATTTATTTATTCTTTAAATATATTTAAAAAAATGGTCTTTGCGTATGGTATAAAAAAGTCGCTCTCGCCGTTTGTACGCTTAGATCCTTTAAGCTACGCAACGGGTTTTAATGCAGTAATTTCATTTCAGCAATAGACAGAGTGATTAAACAGGAAGATTTATATGTAGTACATGCATATTGCAGTAGAGAAAAGCCAAGAAATTTAAAGTTTTGTAATGTGATATATTAATAATAAATATATTTTAGTATGCTTACTTTGCAAACGCTGGTTAAACATTACGAGATAGATCAAATTAATGTTCTAACTACGGAATTAAATTTTAAATCTTAAAAAAGATGTTTTCAGGATGATGATGTCTCATGAAAAAACAGCTGTAAATGTTGTATATAAAGATATCTCGCCGTTTAGACCAATCATAATCCTAATATTATTAATCACTTCACACTGCCCCACATTCGTACGTAAATTTCCCCCGTATGAAGCAGTTTAGGGTCAATAGTAATATATAAAGGTAGACTTTCCGCCTTTGGCATTAGTTACTAGTCAACCTTAGGGTTGTCCAGGCAAGTTAAAGTAGAAGTATTAGTAAATTGAGAGGGGTCCCATTTTCATTGTACTTCACGGCACCATTTGGCTTGACCGGGTGTCCAAATACCTGGAGAGACGAGACTTGAGAAGATCACAGTCGCGCCGGAGTTCGCGGAAGATTGCGTTTTCGCGTTCCCCTGGCCCAGGCAAAAGTGACAGCGCAGGTGCAATGTGGGTTTTTGTGGATACCCCCGAACTCCCACATACCCCTGCTGCCAACCCAATGCGGCGGGAGATCCATAAAGGATTTTTCCCACGTAAAAAAAGGAGCATTAACAATATCTTCTGGACATTTGCATGCTGTTCAAAACAGCTAAATAGGTTGGCTTGACATTTGTGACATAACAACAACATAACAAGACCAAAATATTTTCTGTACCTATTTATCAGCAAATTAAGAAACTTGAAACTTGAATAATATTTAAAATATATGAGTGTATTGGTTGCCACAGCGCTATAAAAAATTCTCAACTCTTTTTTTTTTAATACATGATCTAAAAAATATATCATCGATCAGGAATACCCTGGGACAGTGAGTTAATAAATATTTTTCAAACGTTAATAAATATGGTCATATAAAAAGTTTATATTAAACATTTTATTAATAATTTATTATAAAAGCGACGACCTCTGTATGCATAGTAGTTCCCTGTAATAATGTAGTAGCACTGAATAACAATTAAAGCCATCGTAGCATGTCAATAAATATCATTTAACGATATATATCTTATGGCTAGAGGCGTTCCTTTACGTTAATTCACAATCAGTGAGAACTTAAACACATAATCGTATGCCAAAACTTGATATATTCGTGTGAAGAGATTTGGATCAAAGTTGAATATTATTAGACAAATTAATTAAATCTAAAGCGGTTTATAAACTACCTCCAATCTATATTTAAAACAAATTCATAGTGAAGAGCTAAGGTAATTTATCAGTGCCTTTATGGCTATATTATGCAGACAAAAAGGATACAATAATAAAAAAAAACAATCAATTCCATGTAAACAACATATAGTTAAAAATATCGTACTCATTATTTCAGTTCGCGTAAGGAATTTAACGAAGAAATTTCCAATGCATGCGTGAGCAATCGGCCGCAAATCCTGCGATCGTCTCGTAACGCATGCGAGCCGAATTGGGGGCCAAGACGCAGCCGCCTAAGCCGGGGCCGGACAGCTGCCAAAAACGGATCGTAAATCAGGCCAGCCCTTGCGGCCGTAGCGTCCGCAGAAATGGCATTGAAATATCATCAGCGCAGCAGTGTGCACTTGCCGACGTACTCACGCCGGCCGTTCGTGATTTCGTTGGATTTATGCGATGCGGTCGCTGTTTGTAAATAAATAGGTAAAACATAAATTAATAGGATAGTACGATGAACAATCAAGTCGCTCGGGATCGTGCTTTTGGCAATGAGGAAGGGGTATCCCCTTGTGTATGCGATGGACTTATAATGGGATCTTAGAGACATTGATTGAATACTTTCGTGACAAACTTTCCACCAGTTTTGCCGATGATAAGTTTTGTGGGAGACCTCACAAGTCTTTGTTCCTTTAAACATCTTGTTGTATCATCGCCTTGGTGGACATCTGCATCGTTTGCCAACCTTTCCAGTCACTTTTAGTTAAATTAGTATTCTCATTTGATAGCGCTGTGGAATATTCTATCGCTTCAAAACTAGGCCTAACAAGAGACCGGGTAAAAGCACTTATTCTTTTGCAATTTCCTTAGCGATTCGTGAGAAGACAAAGAAACTTTAGTTTTGCCAATCATGAATGACAGTCAGTAAAGTAAAGCAAGGTAAAGCAACAACCCATATATTATGCCCCCTTCTGGACCAAGACCTCCTCTGTACAGAGGTAATTCTCAGAGCACAATCCACCACGCAATTCGCACAATTTCCTTAGTGTCGGCACTGGGATTTGAACTCGCGTTGCTCTAGTATATTGAATTAAAAGCGAGTGCCCGCAGACACTGAGCTACTTGAGCCAGATAAAACAAGTATCTAATTCGCCCTATCTTACAATGGTTTCATGGCTGATTTCATCAAAACTTCCATGGTTTTCCACAATTTGTATCGCGTTTAATTTTAATTTACCTTTCCTTGATCTCTAAAAACTTATTAGTATTCATAGTTAACAGGAATAGGTAGTTATTTTATAGAAACTATTGCATTATGGCTTCGTTAACCAAATTTTGCCTCTGCAGACCGTATGCTTATTTACCGCTTATCTTCTAATCCGTATCTCAACCAGAGGGCCCACATTAAAGGATCGAACCCTAACGGACCCCGTATTAACATCATTTGTGGAGAATTATCCCTGTATAGAAGTCAGGAAGTTCATGTGACACGATACCAGTTGTTACCGATTCATGATCTCAGAGCGCTTCATTTGACGATTAAAATCTTAAATGTTTAAAATTTTTGGAAAAAGTACGAAAAGATTGTCGCCGCGAACACTGAGAATACTACCACAAGAGAATGATACAATACATTACTTTAAATAACTAACATAACAATGTAATTTATAATGAGAAAGTACTTAATGTTTAAATTGTCTATAGTGCTAATCTTTGCACTAAGATTGAACATTAAAATATGTATAAAAAAATTCAAATGCTAAAAAAAAAACAATGGAGATAAAAGACGTTAAGATTTTCGTCGGTGTGGCAATCAGCTGTTTAGCTTAGTGGTTAAAACGTCAGGCCGCGAATGCCGAACGTGGGTGCGATTCCCACAGCGGCGACAATATTTTCGTACTTTTTTTTTACAAATTTTAATGTTATGTATTTTAAGTGCAGAGATTAGCACTATAAAACAATTTAAAAATTTCTTCAATCTTTGATAGGAGTGTGAGGTTTTTTGCGATGTATATATCGTTTATAATACTGATATATATTTTTATATGAGAAGATGGCAAACGAGCTGGCAATTCACCTGATATTAAGTGATAACTACTGCCAATGGACATTTGCAACACCCAATGTAGGGTTACAAATGCGTTCACCAAGTATTAATAAAGCTCTTAGTGTTTTGTCATTCTCCAAAACACCATCATCTCTCTAGATTTTCGTATCTTTTAACATAAAATAATAAATTATAAAATAATGTTAGTTTGTTATTTACTGTTCCTGCAGCCAAATCCGATTAGCAGACTCAAGAGAGCCGATGAGCTGCCTTACTAACGGGATGGAGCAGTGGCTCTACCTCGCCAAATTACAACCTCTTATAACTCATCTGATTATAGTTTATATGACTGCTCGCAGGTTCCATACGCAAAAAAAAATTATTTACTATTATATACTGACCAAATTTATCAATGTCATTTTATTCCCTTCTGAAAGTTATAAAAGTTAAGAACCTAGTCGGAGTTAGCAAGAAACTTGATATCGTTTTTAACCAATATTTTTTTGTCTCGTATGTATTCGTAAACTTTAACTATCTGCCTCTGCAACACATGCCGGCCGTAATGGTATGAAACTGATAATCTCACTAACTTGCGCCATCTAGGTAGCAATTACGGCCAAGTCGCTCAACGTCCTCGAATCCGCACCTCAATGGACTGGTCCATTCATAGCCGGTATGAATGATGGTGGACAGTCATTAATCCCGTCAGATATACCTGTCGCCGTCGAGCCGACAAGCCGAGCCGTACGTTCAATGCACCGTGGCCTTGATTGGCCGTTTTTATATTCGACCAATCGAGCTGCTCACAGAGTAGACGATGCAGAGGGAATGCGCCGAAAACCTCCTAACGCCTTCTCCATCTTGGAATGTAATTCGACGAATCACATTCGAAGATAAATCCGCGTAGTTGCTTTGTTTTTACTATTATTTTTTCAATTTAAATAATATAAGGATTCTAACGAAATGCAAAAACATAATATTATTTTTGTAACAGAGACATTTCACATATACACTTACACATTTACACATACACTTTAATTACTCGAGTTCTATCTCCGGTTCCAGCACCAATGAAATTGCAAGTTTTAAGTGCTGAATTATCACGCCATTCCGCAGTGGGGTTGCGTGGTGGACTATGCCCTGATAACCTCTTTACAGAGGAGGCCTTTGCCCAGCAATAGGACATTTATAGGCTGTTATATTACTTTTACTTTAAACAGTGACATTAGCAGAGTGAATACTTCTGTAACACTTAAACTTATCAATCTGTAATTAGTTAGTCTGTGGCGACAATCATGTTTATTTTGAGTTAACATTCAGTAACCGGTTTCGCTTGCAGTGTAATAGTAATAAATGTTTAAAGCCTACACTCCGGTCATTAGCTATGAGAAAACTTATGAATGGAGTCGATCTTGTATGTAGATTAGCGAAGTAACCGGTGTCTACATGGGTTGCATAGTCAGTATTAAATTTCCAGTACTCTGCCTTTCTCAATGATGAGTTATTGGAACGAGTTTCTGTATTAACTTTAATATTAATTCAAAACTATTGGCTCTAACGGCTACTGGGATTAATTTTGTCTCTGCACAATTTGAAGCTGTGTTGTGGGTTGTGTGGATGCTAAGTTTCATTACTTCAAAGTATCTGGAGTGATTCTCAAATTTTTACGAAGCTTGGGTTAATTTGTGTTTCCACGTGTTGTGGGTTGTGTGGATGCTAAGTTTCATTACTTCAAAGTATCTGGAGTGATTCTCAAATTTTTACGAAGCTATTTCTTAAAACGTAGACACGCCTTAAGATATCATTAAACAAATCTAACCCTTTATCACACTAACCCCCAACTACGCAAGGTAACCCAAATGATCGGATAACGGAAACCGATTTGCACGAAGATTAGGATCCGTCCGAGATAAACAAACTGGTCGACTCACAGTAAAAATAGACCCAATGAGGAGCGGACGGATAACAGGTGGATTATGAACCGCACGATCGCTGCCGAACTGGTTATTACCTCGCAAGCGGTCGCGTGGGTGCCGACCCGAGGTTTGCCGAAGGCGCCCGAAGATTGACGATTGATCACCAACTGCAGTTCGGCACCCAGCGGCATCTGTTGCATAAATATCTGTCCATCTGGGTTACCATGGCCTCCCAGAAGAAGTAAAGAAAGAGTGACCGGTTTTCTGAGTAAAATCTGGCAATTTACCGTGGAGAACAGTGCTTTATCGTACGATTCATGGCGGGGCAATGATTGACTATGGATATATGACTATTTACCCGTTTGAATTGAAAGACATCAGACGCCCTCGATGTTACGACTTATCACAAAACGCACCATGTATAGAAACAAGTAGTTGCGGTGGTAGGGCCACGCAGCAGCCACGGCTGTTGCACGAATGGGCAGGCCTGTCCGGATAAGTACAACGACCTAACAGAAGACCAGCGTAAAGTGGAAGTATAACAAATTCTTTCGCGTTTCGTCTGGTGAGTGAGGTAGCCGGAGCTCAATTTTCAAAAAGTTCTCAACGCATCTGTAACCCTAGGGTGTAGCAGATGTCAATGGGCGGCGGTATTTACTTACCATCAGGTGAACCGTCTGCTCGTTTGCAAACTTTTCATATAAAATAAAATTGACTTTAGCTTGATTACTATAGTCTGTGCAAATTAGTATCTCCGTCGTGTTAGCTAATTGTTTTTTCATGTTCCTTTTAGACTGAAAGATCACACACAAGTATGGATATTCTATCGACAATAGCAAATATGCACTTTTTAAGGCAAACAAACAATTTCATTTTTCCTGCATCGTAAGTACCTTTACGATTTTTATAAAACTCTTAAACCTTGTCGAAACAACAGATTTAAAGTTTCAAGCCAGTTGAGTTCTCGACGCAGCTAATGCCATCTAGCGGTCCATACTACGCAGCACAATTGTTCTTGAATTTAAATTAATAAAATGGCGTATACATACGAGGACGGTGATTTGTATTTCGCGCGCTTAGGGTTTATTATATTTTAAAAATAAGTGGAAGGTAGCTGTACTTTGTTGCACAGCCTTTGAATTTGACCGTTGACGCGAGCCTAGTCAGTTGCACTTAGACATCATACGGGGACGCTCATATGTCACTCTCCTCGCGGATGTATACGCGCTCACCGAATTTCTGCTTTCTGATTTGCCACCTGACGACACCAGCGACCTACCTCGCCCACATCGTGGTCCTTCGGCCGAATCATCACGTCGTCGACAAGCAAACCGGTAACAGAAATGTTTCATACGCCTATTACGCCACGCAAGAAGAAGCGAACACGTGGCGGCGTTACGAGATCGGAGTGTAAAAGGAACGAGCAGGATGTTTTTCCTTCATGTAGTTTGAAGGATGATGAGCCTGAAATGACTGTAAAAGACCCAAGTGCTTGTAGCATAAGCAAAAAGTCTCTGAAAACCTCACGTACGTCGTCAACAGCACGTAAACGGCAGTTGGAGTTGGAGGCTGCTAAAGCTAAGGCCGCTGTTGATATGGAACTAGCTGAAGCTGAAGCGGAAGCCAAGATTAATGCTGCGAAGATTAAGGCAAATATTAAGTCCGAGCTGCTCAACAAAAAGCTAGCAGCCGAGATGGCAGAGTTAGAGTCTACATCACACCGTTCCAGTAAGTCTGCTTCTCAATCTACTAACAGCAAAGTAGAAGACTGGCTCGATAATACAGTGGGCCAGCAAGTGGAGCATCAAGAAGATTGCTGTCGTGACAGATCCAGCATTGAAAAGCTGGCAAATGCCCTACGTGATGCAGTGACCACCTCATCATATAAAGCGCAGAACCAAGAGCTTTTAACCAGGCTAGCGACCTCTAAAGACTTACCTTCATTTTTTGGCGATCCAATAGAGTGGTTACATTTTAAACAGGCATACATAGAATCTACAAAGCTGTGTAAATACAGTGATACAGAAAATGTATGGCGATTACGCAAGTGTCTTCGTGGCGAAGCCAAAGAAGCAGTGACATCCCTTTTGATTGGTCAAACGTCACCTGATTTGATAATTGACACTTTGGAACTTCGATTTGGCAAACCTGAAACTATCATGAGTAAAATAGTTCTACAGCTAAAAAAGTTATACCCGTTACCATTATCTTACCACAATGTAATAATAAATTTTTCAATTAAAATAAAAAATTATGTGACAGCTGCAAAAGCTATACAGCAGAACGATTATCTTCGTAGCCCAGAATTGGTGTCTATTGTGGTCTCAAAGTTTCCAACTTTACTTGTCACGAAGTGGACGGATTATATTTATGAACGCCGAGAGAGTAATCTACCGAAATTGGAATTATTGAGTACATTTTTATATGAAGAAGCCACTAAGATAGCTACATCAGGAGTGAGCCATATTAATACTCAATACAACTTCAAAAAGAAGCTCGATGAACGTAAACAACACTCACCCGTATTGCTATAAACAAATAATCAATGTGAGAATAATATGAAGTGTAAATTTTGCCGCAGAGGTGTACATAGTCTATCAGACTGTATTCGGTTTAAACGCGCCCTACGCAAAGACCGGTGGCGATTCGCACGCACAAATAAACTGTGTTACAAGTGCCTTGAACCGCGACATACGAATTTAGCAGCTTGCCGTGGCACTATTTGTGAGATAGAGGGCTGTAATCAACCCCATCATCGTTTGCTGCACTGGAGTAAGCCACAAAATGAAAAACCCGAAAAAACTGAGAATGAAGAGGAGGATGAGCATCCCAACCCTGAAACAGTGACTCATATGGTGGCATCCCACTGTCACAAGGTGCTTTTGAAAGCGGTGCCGCTCACTCTTCACGGGCCCAACGGAAGTTTGCATACGCATGCCATACTGGACGATGGAGCGACCGTGACCTTGATATCAGCTGACATCGCAGACGAGCTAGGATTGCAGGGCGAGAACGTTATTATGCGCGCTCGCAGTGCATGGGACTCAGGCGAGCTAGTGTGTGAGTCACAAGTAATAAGTGTTAGTGTCTCTAATTGCTATAACGAAAAGTTTAGTTTCCGTGCGCGTAAAATAAATGAATTAAATTTGCCCGTGCAAAAGGTGCCAAACATAGATTTAAGTGCTTACGGACAGCTAAGTGTAGATTTTAAGTTTTGCAATTGTAATACGCAGCCAAAATTGTTAATTGGTCAAGATAATCATCATTTAATTACTCCTGTCCGCTACTTCCGAGGGAAGCGGCGTGAGCCGTACATAACACAAACGGCGCTCGGATGGTGTATACACGGAAACATGGTAAGTGATACTACTTGCACTGGTCGCTTTGTCTCTTTTTCTCCTGATTGCACTGATAATGATTACGTAGGATCTACGTAGTCGGTGTTTCATTTACACACGGTAGAAACAATATCTTGCCGTCCTTGTCTCGAGAACACTAGCGGTGACCGTACCTGTGCGCAGTTGCACGATGCGGTGCGTAGGTCATTTGCGTTAGAGTCTATTGGTGTAGGTTCGAAGCCGCGGCGTAATCCCGATGATATAAGAGCTATTAACATTTTAGATAATACTGCGGAATTAATTAATGGTCAGTGGTATGTCGGTTTGCCGTGGAAATCCGATAATTTTAAAATGCCTGATTCCTATCCTAACGCCTTTTAACGATTAAGGTCAATCGAAAGAAAAATGTTGAACAATAAGGAGTACGCGACACGATATCGTGAGAGGATGAAATATTTATTTTCAAATGGATACGCTAGGGAGCTACTAGATAGTGATGAGTTCCATAATGAACATGTATGGTATTTGCCGCACTTTGGTGTTGATAACCCAAACAAAAAGAAGTTGCGTTTGGTTTATGATGCGGCAGCGAAGTCTGAAGGATATTCATTAAATGATTTTCTTCTGCAAGGACCTGATTTGTTGCAGTCATTGTTAGGAATAATGTTAAGATTTAGAGAAAACCCTGCCGGTATTATTGGTGATATACAAGACATGTTTTTGAGAATAAAAATACGAGAGCAGGATATTAATTCTTTACGTTTTTTATGGAAAGATATTTACTTATTAGACGAAAATCAATCTAATTTTACCAGTGATCCCAAAATGTCTTCCTCGCATATTGTTTATCCAATTAAAAAGTATGTTATGACTTCGTTAATTTTTGGTGCAAATTGTTCACCATTTATTGCGCAATACATAAATCAAAATAAAAATACTTTGCGGTTCGAAACAGTAATGTCTGATGCAGTTAATGCTATACGAAAAAATCAGTATATGGACGATTTCATTGACAGTTTACCGGACATCGCCACCGCCTCAAAAATGATAAGAGAAGTTTCTTATATTAACCTCCAGGGTGGGTTTGTAATGCGTAATTGGTTAAGTAACAAATCGGAAGTTCTTAACAATATGCCAAAAGAGACTTTAAGCGATATGGCAATAAGATTTAATATCGAGTCTCAATGCGAGCGTACACTAGGGCTCTTATGGTTTCCTGCTGAGGACTCTTTTGGATTCGATCTGTCATTGAACCGCATACCAAGTGATGTGTTAAACCTAATACGAAAACCAACGAAACGTGAAGTTCTTCGTATAGTAATGTCTATTTATGATATACATGGCTTTTTAGGACCTTTTATGATAAAATCAAAAATTTTATTACGTGATATATGGAAAATAGGGATTAAATGGGATCAAGAAATTACTGGTGATTTATTTTTATTATTCAAAAAATGGATAACGCAGTTGAAAACAATGTCTAGTATTCGTATTCAACGCTGGTATTTTCAACACGATGTTGCAGGCGGGACCGAGCAAAATGATACGCCGGCTGTAAGCAAAAGTGAGACAACGTTACAATTACATGTTTTTTGCGACGCATCTTCGTGCGCTTACGCATCTGTTGCCTACTGGCGTAAACAACACGGTGACAAGGTACAAGTATCTTTTATAGCGAGTAAAAATCGTGTCGCGCCGCTTAAACCGATAACCGTCCCTAAACTGGAGCTTCAAGGTGCGTTATTAGCTTGTAGGTTAGCAGAGACTATACAAAAGGAACATCGAATTAAACCTTCATCATTATTTTATTGGACGGATTCTATTATTGTTCTGCATTGGATTAGAAATGAGTATAGAAATTATAAAGTTTTTATTTCTAACAGGCTAGGTGAAATTGATGAATTAAGTAAAATTAATGAATGGCATTACGTACCGACTAATTTAAACATAGCCGACTTAGCTACAAAAAATAATACGTACGATTTCCAAAAGGACTTATCTTGGTTTACGGGTCCGTCTTTTCTGTCTAAAGCGGAAACATACTGGCCACGAGAACCTGAAAAAGAAGAAAAAATTAATAAGGAAATTTTAGAAAAAATATGTACAATAACAATGCCGTCAAAGGATAATATATATATTTGTAAGTTACCTGTCCCTGATCCAGACCGCTTCTCGGTGTGGCTTCGGTTAGTTCGCAGCACCGCTGCTGTGCTATTGTTTATAGAAAACTACGCTGCGTTACTCTCAGTCACAATCATTTCAGACTGAAATCGATTTGTTGAAACGAAAAAAAAAAAAAAAAAAAAAAAAAAAAAAAAAGGATGGCTGCGCGCCGGGGTTGGCCTCACACAGTTTTGTCAGATAATGGAACCAACATGCGTGGAGCGGATTCTGAGCTCCAAAAATCTTTTGATGAGATCGATCAGCAGCTGGTTATTGCTGAGGCGTTGAACAGAGGAGTAACTTGGCAATTTATACCTCCAGCAAACCCTCATATGGGTGGAGCATGGGAGCGCCTTATCAGAAGTTTGAAAGCAACTCTGAAAGTAATACTTAAAGAAAGATCCCCACAAGAGGAAGTTTTAGCCACACTCCTTACTGAAGTGGAGAACATAATTAATAGCCGCCCCCTCACACATGTTTCAGTGGACCCTCGGAGTCAAGAAGCGTTAACTCCGAATCATTTTTTGTTAGGATCGTCATCGAATTTACCTCGACCTGGAGTTTTCGATGATGGTGACTTATACCTCAGACGTCAATGGCGCATAGCTCAACGGCTAACGGATTTATTTTGGAGCAGATGGGTCAGAGAATTCTTGCCCGAGCTCATTCCTCGCCGAAAATGGAATAGGGAAGGTCAACAAATTAAGGTAGGAGATCTCGTTGTTGTGGTAGATCCGTCATTGGTTTCGTAATTGCTGGCCAATAGGTATTGTTGAAAGGGTTTACCCAGGCTCGGACGGCAGGGTTAGAGTAGTAGATGTTAGAACTAGGTCAGGAGTGATAAAGCGATCAGCTGCACACGTGGCCTTACTCCGCGTTATTGATTCGTGTCGACAAACCGACACTGGGGGGGAGGATGTTGATGACGGCCACGCTGCTTCACCTGGAATATAAAATAATTATAATTAGTTTGTGTAAACATTTGATTTTATTTAGCATCAAAATTACTATTGTCATATATAATTACTTACCTTTAAGTTAACTTCTTACCTTTTGTCACCTTTATGTATTTGTTCTTGAATTTAAATTAATAAAATGGCGTATACATACGAGGACGGTGATTTGTATTTCGCGCGCTTAGGGTTTATTATATTTTAAAAATAAGTGGAAGGTAGCTGTACTTTGTTGCACAGCCTTTGAATTTGACCGTTGACGCGAGCCTAGTCAGTTGCACTTAGACATCATACGGGGACGCTCATATGTCACTCTCCTCGCGGATGTATACGCGCTCACCGAATTTCTGCTTTCTGATTTGCCACCTGACGACACCAGCGACCTACCTCGCCCACACTCAGTGGATATACTTTTCATTAATACTAGATAAAAATGTTCCCGTATAGATGAAAGTCGACGCATTGATTTTCTTTATCACAAATCAGCAATTTTTTGTATTTAAATGTTTCCAATGACATTTTTTGTTTCTAATTTGACTTCAAAACTGTCTGACACACTGTCTGTTTATTTTAATATGGTATCCATATCGCAATAGTAATTGGCATGTATAAAATATATAAATGTAAATAAATTATTATGTTAATAATATTAATTTCATCTCAATTAAGTTGTACAACAATATGGCCCTAGTTGAAATTTGAATTAAAGATTATTTTCTAAGAACGTTTCATAAGAAGATGCTGCGTTATTAATGCCTAGATTTCATTTATGCCTTTTCCCTTATACAAACGTCTATGTTAGATGTTTGTCTGACGTTTGTCTATATTCTTTTTTAATTGAATTCATAAAGATTTGAAATAAATTTCAATGTTTTAATAGCTCTGTTTGTTATGTATCTTTACGAAACTCTAAGTTTAAATATTTTCCCAAGATACTTTTAAATTTTGCAATATGTCTAACTGTCTTTCTTTTTCTTAAATGATAACAACACCTTGCAAATTAATTTATCAATGAATCAAAACAATCAAAACAAATCAAAACAATGGCGGCATTTTAGATAATGATTTTTTTTTTTTATTTTAATTTTCGACTTAAAAACTTTTCCCATCCCTCTTGGTTGAGCTCCAATCAATTTCAAAGCCATAGATGCAACCTTTTCAATTCAACTCAACTTCTTATGAACCAAAACACAATTATAATAAAAATAGTATTGATACATTTTCGACATTCTTCTTCTTCTTTTCTTTTTTGGCGGTTTTCAATGAATACGCCAATGAACACTTCTGGTTGTTTATTTTTGCCTAACTTTTATAATGAAATGATGAAGAGAATGATTTTATGAATGTTAAATATGTATATTTTTATATATAGAATATCTAAACAAATTTACATAATTATAGCAATTACCTAGAACATTTTCGACATTAAAATTGAAAACAAATTTCGAATTTCGAATATTGTAAATTTTGTTTCTGGCTGATGAAAATTAATTAAATAGTCCTAAGACTAAAAACGAAACATTACCTTTAAAAAACTAAAAGCATAAAGTATGTAACAGACGCCATTTATCGAACACTCCCCTAACATTCATTAATAGTTACGTTGTCGCGAAGACTCATACATACTTCCAAAGCCAATGATATTATATTATCCAAATAAAAAGTAATGGTACTAAGTAGTCAATCATGTCGGTGGTAGAAGTACATCATTGTAATCGATTCAAACATTTATGAAAATAAATATAAAAAAGTATAAAAATTTAAAATAATTATAGAACAGTGTAAGTTAACTAAGTAAGAGATTTTATGAACCGATTGGCGTAGTGGGTAGTGATCCTGCCTTTCGCGCCAGAAGATGTGGGTTCGATCCCCAATACTGGAAAATATTGTTCGATGAACGTAGTGTTTATATATTTAGAATATTTGTTTATTTGACATTTTTTAATAAAAATAATAATAATTATTATTCAGAAAAGAATAGTATGTTGTTAGTTATATTGTACCCACAGTACAAGCGTTGCTTAGTTTGGGACTAAACAACGTTGTATAAAAAGGTGTCCTAAAATATTTATGTTTATTTATTACGAGTATACTTATATTTGTTGATGAAATTTTATAATGAAGAACGATCATATATTCTGTTTAGAGCATAATTATGCAGGGCGTATACTTTTCCTTTTACGCACTTCTTGCGGGCGTAAATCTCTGTGTTTAACTTAAAATACATAAACGATAAAACTGTGGAAAAGGGCTATTTAAAATCAGTGATAGATTTGTTGTAACAAAAGATTGATAATACTAGATACCTCCGTCTTTTCTGTAACAGTTAAAAATTGTTATCAGGTCTGTTCTCTTTCCTGTTAATATATCCCTTTTGTCCCAACATTTTTGTTCATCGCGTTCAATGAAAAGATATGAGAGTTATAATAAGCGAAGTTTCGTATTACCTAGAAATTTTGATGTTATTCCGATGGAATGTAGAATTGTAATCCGGCATTCTTAGAAATCGCAGTGGAAAACACATGCAGCCGACCACCCATATATGTTTGTGATTACAATATTTTTATGACAGCCAAGCAGTGGCATCTTTCCGCCCTGTCTACCTCGCGTTAAATAAACACTGATGCACATGTGGGTGTTATTACTATTTTAATAAAAATCCATTCGGTCCGTTCGTCTAGAACTTCTGTTTCATATCAAAACGTAACATCTTCAGGAAGCGACATAAATCATTTTTTTTAATGTGAAAAGTTTCCAAACGAGCAGACGGTTCACCTGATGGTAAGTGAATACCGCTGCCCATGGACATCCGCTACACCCGAGGGTTACAGAGGCGTTGACAGCCTTTTGAAAATTGGGCTCCGGCTGCCTCACTCACCAGACGAAACGCGAAAGTATTTGTAATACTACCACTTTACGCTGGTCTTCTGTGAGGTGGTGGTACTTACCCGAACGTGGTGGTACTTACCCGAACGGGCCTGTCCATTCGTAAAATTCAAATGCTTTCTGCAGGGGTGGCAATTTGTTTAATTTTTTTTATGTTTAGAAAGTTACTTCTACCGCATACCCATACCATTAACTTAATGATTTTCAAATAGTTATCTGATAGCATTATACCCAGTTTGGGATATCATTATACTGTACCGCAGAGGTGCTTTATAGACAAAATAATCAGAAGAAGAAAAAACGCCATGTTTCAGATTAATTGTTTGCAGGTCATTGTTCCCTTAGAGACCCAATGGCTTAACTCTGATCCATTGGAAGAGAAGCAAAGCCCTCGATTTAGATACTTTTTGCGTTGGACTCTTAGACTGCCTCTCGTGTAAGGGGTACATCGTTCAGGACCTAGCTGCATCAGAAACAGCTGAAGTAAAGGTATGCGTCAATGTCTCATTCACATAATGCATTTATATTTATGCTATTTGCTTTTGTTTTTTTAAAAGTTAGATCACTGGGGTCCCAACACATCAAAAGTTTTGAAAGATTAACGTCCTAGACTTATCGCTGGGTCTGGTGACAAGAGTGCTGGTTCTTTTTTCGCTCAAAGGTCAAGTATAACTCTTCAGCAAGGAAATACAGCTAGTTTTCTTAGCGTCATATCGCGTGGGCTAGGTGTGTTAGATAACACATAATCGTACCAGGTGAAAACGAAATGGACAACCTGTGAGGCCGTGTCCATTATTACTAAGCAATTGAGGCATCGGGCGAAACCAGTGATAGCATACGACTGTTTTATTGTGATAAGGTGGCAGATGTCTGGCAGTTCGCCTGATGTTAAATAATAACATATATTACGACATCCGCAACACCTGTGTGTCCCTATGCATAACCGACCTTAAAATAATGGTCGTCGATGGTTACCTCACTAGACAAAAGACCGAAGTATATACATCAACTTCTCACCGATCATTTCAGGCTTTAGTTGGCTCAGTGGCTCCCGCCAATTAGTACAACAGTATAATGTATGACTTGTTTTGTACATTTCAATATTTATACACTAATAATTTCGGGACCCTGCCCCACTAAAACAAACTAAATTACGAGTAACACAAATAATAATACAAAGGCCAGTAGCTAGTTTTGTTGTTAATTTGTTAATTACGCGTCTCTTTAAACTGACATTGAGATGTCTGTTTCCTATCAAAGTTTTACTGAGTACCCGAGGATATCACGAATCGCATGCAGACCACCCACTATTCCGTGGGGCTACCACAATATCAATACACCCACGTAAATATATGCAAACCACATATTTGTACAGACCAATTAAGTGGCTCAACATGCTCTAACGCTCTAACTAATTGGGTACATCTATCCAATTATATCGACCAAATTGAGTCATACACTCGTTACATTTGGTACTCTCTTTTAATGATAAATCAATAGGGCATATACACACTATAAATTTGCATTTAATATCTTAGTTAAGGTTGCTGATTCTGATAAATATATTTAAACACACCTTTCTTTTGTATATAAATGCGTATTATACAAATGTACATTACCACTTGGACCCAGGAAAAACACTGTTCATCACATAATATTTTTCAAGATTCTGGCGATCGAACCCACACCCTCTGCTGTCAGAGACAGGTTCACTTTCCAATACATCAATCAGGTCGAGTATTATGATAGTTTATTTTTATTTAGTGGACATTGACAAAGGGTTAACTGGTTAATGTAATTAAAATGTTCACGTGTAACGTTCTGTAAACGCGAGTTGGTTTTTAGGTAACAAACCTTTTTTTTCGGGCCTTTGATTACCGTAAACAAAACGAAACGATATAAATCGGCTTTTTCAAAAATTGGTAAGGGAGTGAGCTACAGTGACCTGTGCAATTGTGCGGGAAGTCGTTGGATGCAGGTGGCTCTCTATCATGCTTAGGGGCAGTCCGTGGGCGAAGGCTATGTTCATCAGTGGGTTCGGATAGCCTGAAATGATGACAACGAAGCTATCGGGCGGTTTTCTTATGCTAATGGATGACCGCCATGACCCAT